TTAAACAGTCGTTTTACATCGAGAGTTTCCTGGTGTTGATAAAACGTGTCCAATGCAGTGGACAAGTTCCGCATAATATACTTTGAACAAACTTGTACTTACCACTTACTTAGACGTTTGCCCGTACACGACAGATTTGCAATTTTAATTACAAGCTGATAACTGTTGATGAGGTATTGATTATAATAGACTAGAATCTAGATTGCTAACTAAAGATAATGCAAGTCGACGTCGGCCATTTTTGTTGAATTTATGTGCGTAAACAATAATAAAGGTATATATATCTGTGATACTGTGTTATCAACTTAACTTATAATTGATAACGTTCTAATTCCTACAAAGATGGCGAAAAATGGCAACTTCAGCTGTTATTTCTATTGGCGGCATGTACACTTGGCAATCTAATTTATTATATATTATATCTGTTGATAACTGATAAGATTTATTTGTTATCGTTTCTGGAACGTGGACAAAAACATTTTAACCTCTGAACTACTAGAGTAACACTCCTATATGAACAGGAACCGTATGCGGTTGGTACTATGGTAAGTCAAAATTTGATTCCTTTCGCCACAAAATCCAAAATATCTCAATCATGGAACTTTTCCAAATTTTCACTTCAAAGTGCTTGAATTTCGTAAAATTGTTTCGACAATAAATTGTTACATTATTTGTAACTGTATTACGAATTGCAATCGGTCGCGGGTCCATGTGTCAATCGTTCATCGAGCGCATACTTTGTCTATTAATTAGCGTAGCGTTGCCCAACAATCGCCTCAATCTCAACGGACTGCATGACATTTTATTATCGAAAAAAAGTAATAACAACTAGTTTTGGATAAGATAAACGTATGTGTATAATATTGAACAAAAATTGAAAAATATTAAAATTTCCATCACTCGAGGATGATTTAAGGTGAGGGGTAAACCCTTTTCCATTCAGGTTTATACAAGTGATCTATATTCTATACACTCGTTTATATGTATACATATTTTTATGTTTACATATTATATTTTATTATACCTATTTAGTATTAATATAGAAATTAATTTTTAATTTGCATTTCTTAATACTTCTATTTATAAGTAAGTGTTAATTTAAATAATTTAGTACATTATTTTGATATGATAATACCGTGGTCGTTGCGGCTTTGATCACAACACAAATAATAATTGTTAGTTACTAATATTCTACTTTTCATATTTTGTTCTGCTCTAATGCTATGTTATTAAAATATCATTTATTTTAGACACTTCATTCACATTGGCTCTGGCCATTTTCTAGGTCGTTTCTTTATGGTCTATATTTTTCAAAAAATATTAGAAAAGTATAGCCAATTATAGGAATATATATACTGTAGTAGTATTTTTTAGTAAATGGAACACAAACAATTATTTTTATAGAATGTAACGTGACAAATTGTTGTTTATTTAAAAAACAAATTGGCCTGGACCTGTTAACGTTAGCTGTTGTGGAATGCATTTAGTTGTAACTTATACATACATAGTTATAGTAAAATTAATCGCATTAACATTTTTTTTCCATCTTATGAACGTACTCGTTTTCTTTATTTGCATTATACCTTCCTCCCTTTGTCTGGTATAATACTAGCAATCTGCATTGGCATTTTTAACTGCCATTTTTATTACAGTTTCTAAAAAACAAATGGGAATTTTTTTTTCATCGAGCTTTCTTAATTAGTTTAATCATAATTATTAAAGCTTTTTTAGCAGTAGGCGCAGCTGAGTATAATATCTTAGTCGATTGAAATTAATTAATGTAAGTTTGTGGATTTTTTTTTATCATTAGTATTTTACTATATTGTTACAAAAATATAGAATGCGACCCGTAAAACAAAATATGTAAAATACTTTACCAGCTTAGTGTTGTGCATTATTATTTTTAAAGTAAATTGAAATAATATTTAGAAACTATTTTAGTTACTTAAATTTTGTAATGAATTTCAGCTGTTAGGGCCCTGTATACATGTCTAAATAAAATTTAACTTAAGTGGATTGCATGCGGTCTGTTTTTAAGGAGTTTTATACAGGTAATGTGTAAAAAAAAAAGTTTTAATAAATTTCGACCATGTCAATTAATTGACCGGTAAAAAGACTCAAAGTATTAATTTTTTAAATTTAAATAATTTTTTCTATGTGTAAAGCCATTTGAAAAATTTCAGGTTTTTGTGATGTAAGTAAATTAAATTCGCAATTTTTTCAATATTAAAACCCTAATTTTTTACATAAAAAAAAATCAAAAACCTAGTAATGTTGCCAAAGTTACACTCGTTTATCTTTACAGAATGGACCATCTCTAAGTAGTCGTAGTATGGACTCTAAGTAGTCGACATTTTGTCTTGATATTTGGCAATTATGAATAATTGTTTTTAATAAATACATAAAATATGTATTATCAATCGATACGATTGTAGAAAGTGCATTGGATTTTTTTATGTAAAAGGGTTTCCAATCATTATTAAGATTTGATTCCCCACCGAAGCTTACTGCCTGTTGTTGTGACGCACTGTTATTACGGTTAACAGCTATTGTTGTTGTCTGGTAACCTATTGTTTTTTTTTTTGGCCGAATCTTGGGGAGACGAACCAGCGTCATCGCGCGCAGTACGGCGCCAGAAACATGTACGCAAACCCGACTGTCGTGCCAGATTGTGAATAAAATCACATGTGATAATAATATATTAATTGAAACAGTACAGATTTCGCAGGTAAAAAGCGTCGGTCATTGTGTAAACTTGGCGACAGAGATGGGCATTGTTCATATTATTGAGAGTGGCCGGTGTAAAATTATTATTTTTTGAACATAAGTATTTTTGTTTGTTTAATTATACACTTATTAGTTATTACCTGTAGTATTTAACCTTGAGTGATACGTAAAAAAAAAAAAATTAAAACAACTGTGTAGAATTTTTTTTTGTATTATATCAATTTATTTTAAATAATATATTATAGAGATGACAGATTTAAAAAAAACGTTATAATAAGACATTTGATTAAAAATATTAATCATGATTGAAAAATTTAATCATGGGCAATAGTTGAATCAATCATGATTGAAAAAATGAATCATGACTAATAGTTAAATTAGTTAGGGGCGACCGAAATGTGTCTAAATATTACAATGGATGTCTGTAGGTGATAACATATTATCAGCTTTCAAGTTTTATATATTTCTTTTTGTTTTTATAGGTAGTTATAACTTATATTTACAGCTGCAACAGAATCAACGCCGGAGCAAACGGCAGACAGCAGCAGCTGCGGCCAGCAATAGCCACTGGCCGCCGCCGCCTCGTTCTCGGTGTTTACGGTTTATTTTTTTTCTCAGGACGACCCGTCGCAAGGTCAACAGGATGTTTATTTTTAGAACTGCCCGCCCCTCACCTTCTCCTACCCGCCCCTCTCGCCGCTGAGCGTTGCTGTCTCTCCATAACGGATTCCCAAACGATATTATATAGATATAGATTATTACTTATTATTCTTATATAGCTGAGAACAACACACAATATGTTAGACGCAGGACAGACGGGCAGAGAAGGTAGTTAAGGCCGCCGCGCATAAGGACTACGTCAGTCTCTCTAGGCGGTGGACCACCGCAGCAGCTGGCCAGTGCATAATACTATTTATATGTACATGCCGTCGTTCACGTAGGCCACCGGCCGTCGTGGTCTGGGCGCAGTCCGCGAATCGCAAAACGGTCTTAATAATATTTTATTTACCGACGCGGTGGCGTATTTACAGGGGGGCGCGATCAGGGTGGTTGGATATCATCCCTTGGAGTCCTAGTTTTTATAAATAGCTATATAAAGGGGTGAGTGGAGGAAACATGTTAACTGATTTTTTTTTTTTTGTAAAATAGCTGTTTTTAGTTTGAATAGTTAGGAAAATTATTTGACAGAATGAAATTGTTGGTATATAAATATGTTACACAATTTAGCAATATTTTAAAATATTAAAAAAGTTCCAAGCATTTGAATATAATATAATATCGACTAAACTATTGCCTCCTGAACAGTTATAAAACTCAACACCTTTATCTACTCGCCCCTTCATATTATTATAATTAATAATCTATGTGTTGAATAGAAGACTCTTCTTGTTATCGTAGAAGTCATGCATGAAATGTTAAAAAAAAGAACATTTCATTATAATATTAGGTTAGTTATATTAGTATATAATAAAAGAATAGCGACTTAAATTTTATGAATTTTTTTTTCAACACGTTTCATCCTTTCTTTTTCGGGGTTCCCAAACTTGTAAAAATGGGTACAAAATATTATATTTTGTCCAAATGAAACTTGAATAACCAACAAATTCTGCCGCTTACACCCGACTTTAACAGTAAAATAGTTGTAATATTTTATGTATCAGTTTGGAATTTATAGCCACTATCACCCCCTCTCCCCACCTCCATAACAATCTCCAAGCCAATGTATCCTACTGTTTACTTTTGGTTAATTTTGAAGAGATGTAAAATGTATGTATTTTTTTATACTCTGATTATACTCTGTTCCATGAGAGATTTACAAAAGAAAAAAAAAAGCAAGCACAATGTGGAAAATACTAGGAGAGATGAATACTTAGTAGCTTTATAATGTTGTAAAACGACATTAACAAAAAATGTTTTCAAAAAGAAAAACTACACATAGTAGCTATTTTCACAATAAATAGAATAAGAATTACGAGTACAATACAGTGTAAAAAAAAAATATTATATAATAAAAAAAAGCTAATGTATAATCATGAGGTATTACATTTTATGCGACTAATTTAATATATTTTATTCCCAATCGTTTATAAATGTGCAACTTATATTGTATAATAAATTAAAGTTCACAGTTCTAACCGCCATGAAGCTGAGAAAAAGAAAAGGAGATGCCGATTAATTTTGCGGTTTAGCCGTTTTAATTTTGAGCCAAATGCAAGCAATAATTTTGTACCACCGACTTATGTAATTATATAAAAACAATTATTAAGCGTATGCTGTAACCGTAGGAATCTTATTGCCGTGGATAAGAATGCAAGGGGGCAGTTCTCGGGTAATGGTTTCGATCCAACACATGTGAATTTTATTAAACTCTCTAATTGGTTTCGGTATTGACCTGTAAATCCGGTAAATTTACCCATAAACCATACACTCCTGCGAGCAAACGTATTAAATAGTTATGGTAGTGAAATAGATTTGTACTTACAAAATTATCAACGACGACCCCGTTGAATGTACTTCGATTAAATCTCTTAAAAATAACGTCTTGCTCGCGTTGTCTTTACTCATCTTGAGTTCGTTCGGATGGGTTTCTAGACAAAAATGAATTATCCGAGCAATTAAATAGCGAATCAAATCAATATTTTCTCAATTTATTTCAATTTTTAAAAACGATTTGATTATCTCAATGGGAATTGTATATTTTATTCATGAATGTTTCGGTTGTCTTGAACGGTGGCTACCGTTGAGGACAATTTGTAATTCTTATTTAAATCTTAAGATACTAACAGCCGGTTTCACCAACTATTATTAAATACACTCTTAACATAATGTTGGTTAACAATTCATTTAAATTTATCATCTGATTAAATTAAGTAAGTTTCAACATAACATTATTCTTAAATTCTATTTGTTAAATTAACAAAATGTTTATTAGGTTACCAAAGCGGTTACCTTGATTCCAACGTTCTTATTGGTTACCACAAAATGTGATAAGTGATAATATTATAATTTTATATTTAAATCTCAATTAGTAATGATTAATTCGATCAATGGCATTTTACATGCCAATTTTTCTTTTTAACAAGCTGATTTCGGCTGGTTAACTCAACAATCGTTTTAACAACGTGTTAAGGCTAACAAATCTCTATGAAACCCGATTTTAACTAACTTATTGTTAAATATAATTAACAATAAGTAAAATTCTTAACAAATGTTGGTGAAATCGGCTGTGAATATAATATTATGTAGTTGTTGTAAAAGTCGAATAAACTACCTTGTCGCATAATATTCTTTATTTTATTATCGAAAACCGTACAACTACCGTATAATAGGCAATTAATTATAGATAAATAATAAACGGATACCTAGTTAATTTAGGTCAAATTTCGTTGTTGTGTTGTTAGATCAGTACTCCCACAAAATACACATCAATCACCATCGAAACTGACTATCAGTATATCATAGCTATATAGTTTATTGTAAAACAGGTACTTAATATTTATTCAGATGGCATCACTAGCATAATAATATATTATATAGCTGGTAAATTAGTTACACAAACGATTTAAATTATTGAATCTTCTCGTCTCTAGTAGAGTTGTATGGGCTGCATTTATATATATATATATATTGCATTTGCTTTTGTGCATGTATACAATATAACTTATTACCAATTATTTTTGTCCGTTTGGCCGTGGTCTTTATTCTCTACAATATATTATTGTGTTACACCGTTACATACAGATCACTCGATATATGTCAAGGGTTTGCAAGTGTAAGGTACGTACGTATATTGTACATACAAATACACAAAAAAAACCGACATCTAGCGAAAACGGTCTCGTTATTGTTGTAAAAAGCTTAAGAAAGGTACCTTTCATTTGCCTTGTTAAAGAATTGAAATACGCCATCGTCAAAGGACTGGCGTTGCTTGCCACAATTATGTCCACACAATCGAAATTCACCCGGAACATGGTCATCAATTTTTTTAATCTGTAAAGAAAGTAAAATAAAATGCCAAATAATAGGTACCTGACAAACTGACAAATTAAATAATACAATCATCTTATCAGTTATCACATATCTTAAAAACCAATGATAACGTTGGAATCGAGGTAACCGCTTTGGTAACCCAACTAACGGTATCTTAACTTGACAAACAGAATTTAACAAAAATAATATTATGGTGAAACTTATTTCATTTAACAGATGTAAAATTTAAATGAATTGTTAACTAACATTGTGTTAAGAGTAACAATATTTGGTGAAAACGGCTGTTAATATCCATAATAAATAATAATTGTTAAAACTCAATAATATAGTTGTTGTTTTGTTTATTTTGTGAGTATATTGCGACTTATAGCTATCCTTCCACAGCTGCTTACAATAAAAAATTACTACAAAAAACCGCTATTATATATTATGCACATGACATGTATGTTGTTCGGTTCATTACATAGGTTTAATTGGTGTATGAGATACTTAACCCTTAATAGTGGGTTTAGGCGTGATCAGGTAAATTATTCACGAATATCAGTGACAGGAATAAAAAGGTCCAAGTTATCCATTGTTGTTTACTCTTTAACAATAAATTGTATATTAATATTATGTAATTTTATTATAGTATAATATTACATTTCAGAATTGAATATTTTAGTCCTGAAATAAATATAATATGCTTGTCGAAATAGGTTAACAAATAATGTAGGAAAATAAGCGATATGTTTAACTGTATTAGTATGCATATAATATAGGCTCTATTTGTTATTCAAAATGTTTCTATTGGAAATTATAGACTTAACACTTGAACAAACACATAGTTTTATACACATAAATATGTGTTACCTAATATTATTACATTGTGTACTTTACACTCTGGCGTACGATAGATGTTTAAAAAAAAAACTAAATTGTCTCTGTTTAGATGTCGCATATAAATAGTGTTGTGTAAATGGTGGTAGGTATTTGTATTATTATCGTGATTAAATTATGATGACTGATTCACCGCGGTTTAGAAATGTGTGCTACTGTGTAACACCTATTCAAGGTTAAAATGTAATAATATGTAATATTTAAACAATTTACAATATTTTTAACATATTTAGTAATACGTTAGGGAATTTCAATCAATAATACAGCTGTCAACCGATCTATAAGGTCGTACAAAATATATATATATATATGATTTTAATTTGTTAAGTACTTGTTCTTTTCTGTAGACAATCGGTCCATTGCACTCGCCACTCCAAAAATCCGAAACGTACAGTTTTTCCAAAAAGTGCTTGACATTAACACATATGCAATGGTCAACGACAAACCTGTAAATACAGCTATTAGCTAATCATTTCTCTTCTATAGTGTAATACACACAACTAAAAAATATATCATGGAAAATACAATATAATATTATTATTGCAGCTAAAACCAATCCGGGAGCAAGATGGTCAACATTTCATAGGGCGCTTGTTCCTTAAGGTTAAGGGGTAGGGGATAATCAGAGAGTTGAAAAAATAGGCATTTAAAAGTATTTTGTTTATTCTGTGCTATAATGTTGATGACATAGTATTATTTGTTTGGCGTATCATGCTACTAGGTATAGAAACTTACTTATTTTCTAATTTGTCAAACGGGGAAACCTGTATTTATAATATGTACAGCAGCCGAAGTTATAAATCAAAGACTAATAAAACAATATATATATATATACTGCTAAGTTTTTCCACTATACTTAATGAAAATTCTACTTGAATTTTAAATAAAAAATATTAAGCCTGGAAAAAGTTATCTGACCACTTTTAAAAAATATAGTGCCTTGCTGTGACCATTTTCTAAGTGGTTTATTTGAAATCAATTAAAGGAAAAAAACAAATAATTTTTTTAGTGATTTGTCTAAATCGCTGAATGAATCGAAGAAGCTTTTTGTTCTTAAAAAAAATTAAGTAATATCTGAAAGTTTTGTATAACATTCATTTGGGAATTGATAAATTTGCCTTTGTACATGCCTTTGTCGTCGAACAGCCACCAGACGTCAACAGTGCCGCCCGTTCGTTTGCGGGTAAACAATAACCGATTAATGGAAACGTTCACAGAAGACTCTGCAGGTTTTATCTTAGATGGTAAAATCTCAAGCAAACGTTGGGTTTTGCAGTGGAAAAATTCATTTGACAGTGGACCATCAGAGCGGATGATCAGAGTGGACATTTCGTTCATGCTCGCCTCGCTGTAAAACCGGTACGATAAATTTACAATTATTATTTTATTGTGAAAACGGCAATTCAAGTAGTTTTTACTATTGTAGAATTCAATTATTTGTACAACTTAAATAACGTTATGGCGAAGAAAGATTTGATGTTAACCGTATGCTTAAAAAAATAATTTAAAAGCCAAAAAACGTTTTTTTTTAGAACCAACCGAAAACTAGAATTCTAAGTATCCCATATAAACCTGATTGAAATTATCAAGATGTGACATTCGTTTAGCAGGTAAACTATCAGAAAAATGGTGCTTACCGAAAACGACGGAGACCTACACCTACTAAATGTTAAGAATTAATTCATGTTATTGTATAAAAAAAAAATATTCTTATAATTAATACAAATTAAAATATTTGAATAATTTTAAATTTTTTTACAATTTTCTAATGTCTGCTAAAAATTAGAAAAACAGTTGTTTTTTCAACAACAAAAATTGTTGGATTATCCTATCGGATATAATATGTGGTTTGTAAGCACCTATAAGTTTTAAGGTTTCAAAAAAATCTACAAATTATAATACCTACATGGCAAACAGATTACAAAACCCTGAACTTAAACCTTTGATAGATTAGATAATATGGTGTGCTGTAATTAAATTATTATCAACTACAGATAATACCTATAAATGGGCAACTGCCATTAAATAGATTCGATTTAAATATCATATTATTTTTGCCACTTGGCACTTTGTATTTCAGGAATATATTATGTGTATAATTAGTTTTGCTTACTTTTTAAATATTTTTAATTTGCATCACCTCACTTATGGTCTTAAACAATCGCGACCTTAGCTTTATGCAGTTTATATAATATATATATATATAATATAAAAAAAAAACATGTGTACTTGAATATGTTCAAATAGGAACGGAGTTCTTCTTCAGAGCAGCTAGACCAATCCGATTTGTAGCCGACCAATATGATGTTGGGCCTAAGTTGACCGTGACCGCACATGTAGATCATGCGAACGGCTGCATCTACACTTACACTGTCCATCACGTTGAACAGACAACTCAATCTGGACTTTTTCAGCCAACCAATCCCTTCGTCTAGCAGTGACTGTCTTTGGTCGTGGGTCAGCTTGTCCTAAGTGCGTTAAAATAGCATTAAGGTTAGCATCCATGTCACATGTCAACACATTAAGTACTACATTGTGGACAAAAGTTGTCTAAAATCTTGTAAAATTGGTCGTATGTCTTGTTGTCAACGAAAACATCTAATATCACACCTAGAAAATTCTTAAGACTCTCCTTTTATGGATGTCAATAACGATGTACAGATAGAACTTGATTGGGCAAATAGTGGCGGATCACTAATTAGAGACATTATAATGTGTGAATGGACAGTAGAGAATAGCGGTGTACTTGAGTTGAATTAAGTTAAGGGAAACCTAACCTCACCTATTTATCGAGACAAATGTTTACTATATTAAGCTAAGTAAGAAGACTAAAGTATTCAATGTGTGAAATTAGTTGAGAAAGTATAGGTCGACCTGATTTACAATAAGTACTAAAAGGTTTAATGCTCTTAAAATAAATAGGTTAATACTCATTTAACTATAATTAAAACTTGAAAACTATTAAAGGGGGGGGGGGGGTTTGAGTATTACTATTTGTTTTGTTTAAAAGTAGTATTTTATTAAAATATACAGAATTTGTTTATTACAGATAGTAAAAATAATATTGTTAGATACCTAACAAGAGATTACATTTGCTTAGAAGCATACTTTTAACGAATTAAGACCAACCAGTAGTGTATTTTCAACATTTTACCGATGGAGGGGCTTTAAAGTGTTAGGAAAACGGATAGTAGTATACAAAAAAAAAATATTATCAAAATAATACTTGTAGTTGTTTTTTACCTATTTTGTTGGGTCGGATTTTAGAATTATTGGTATGACGAATCATATTAATATCAATTTTCATCGTTTATAATATTTATAGTTAGGAGCCCTCTTGAAAGTTATGGTGAATGAAGGGTAAATAAATAAGATTAAAGGAGAGCAGATTATAATTATTAGTCACAATTCGTTACAAAAGAAATAACGCATTATTTTTATAATTTTGAACGTATATTAATTATTATTAACATACACGACACATCAATAAATTAGTAGTATAAAACTTGTCACGTAATGTACCTTTAATAATTACTACAATGTATGACTAATGACTATGTATTGTATTTATCTTCTGTGTATTTGGGAAGTTTGCACTAGTTTTTTTTTATCATCGTACATAAAGAGTCAATACTGTACTTTATTATTATCTTTATGGGTTTCACATTCTATATAGGGGCGATTCACTATAACACTGATTACTTTCTATCTATATTTTTTGTTTTTATAGTTGTGTCTTGTGAGGTATAACCCAGTTCAATCCATTATTAACTACAATTCCGCCTCACGATACACTAGACATTAGTTTTCCAACGAAAAACGATCAAAGGCAGACATCGATCATCGTTTTCATAGTCAAAATGGTTTTATTTTTTTTCCCCTACAACCGTTTAACTCGTTAAGTATTATACTTTATTTGTCGTTGTATTGCAGATAAAATAAAACCAAATATTCCACTCTAAAAAATTCTAATATTGTCAACAGACCTTAATAATCTCAGGTCAGTGTGACCGAAAAATGAAAAAAAATAATCGTTCTGGTCAAAGAAATGTTATCAAGCAAATGTGTTTGTTATCACCATCAACATACGTTATCAACTACTTGTTATCAGTAATGTAGAATTAACCAATCAAAAATCGTTATTTGAAAATCTATTGTTTCACAACGGAGTGCACTGTCTGGATTTATTTAATCTACTGTGGCTAAGTTTGAGACATAATATAATTTTGATGAATAATTAATATTATGGTTTTAACTTTAAACTGACCTTTTCAACGTTGACGCATATTAATAAACCGGTTTCTTTTGTAATCAGATGACCCAAAGACACCAGGGCTTTCCTCGAGTCGGGCATCCCGGAAAGTACTATCACGTTGGGCAAGTAGTTTTTCACGTGGTACTTTATGGCGTATACGTTTTGCACGTTCTTCAATATGGTTTTGTATCGCTGTATCTTCATCGACGAGCCCCAATTTATATCTATTAAATGACGGTATGTGCACAAATATAATATGTTGTGATGATTACAAGATATGTTTTGTTTTAGTGATTATGTTATGACTTGGTGTGAGTTTTCAGACTTACCGTTTTTTCTCCGGGCGGCCATTGTGTGCAAAGCCCAAATAGCACAAAAAACCGTTACCGACATTGCCATGTCGATGGATATCATTACTCCGAAGCAAATTACGGATCCGGCAAGACTCAACCATTTGTTAAAGAACTATACAAACGACAGGTTTTTATATTTTTAAATGTATTATTGATAAAAATCGATTTGACCGTCGCACTACCTTGTAAGTAGGTCTCCACCCCAAATGGTTATAGTGTGCCACGTGGAACGTACAGAGATTTAGCATCGCATAACTGCATAAATATATGGTCGAAATAAACGAAGCGATCGCGTTGAGTTCGCCTGAAATCCGACAATCGTTATTAACAACTGTTTTTTAACGTTATAAAAGGTACAGACACAGCAAGGAAAAACCGTCATTGTAAAATCAGGTGTTCCTTGGCTTTAGTGGTTCGCCCCGAAGGGATCCCCTACGACCGCGGACCGACTAGTAGCACTGGGTGCTAATTGCGGGCCGGGGAAGGTGTGTCTCAAAAAGAAGTGACCTGTTAGAAGGCCACTTATCGGGGGCTCTACGTCACTTTAGTCGCCTTTTACGACAGGTGATTGTAAAATCAATAATCTTCTCAGCTTTATATCGAAACCAAAAACGATGCAGCACCAGCAGCAGCTTACACAAAATAGATTGAGTAATATTTTGTCGATGCAGCTTGTATCGGTGATAAGAACTTTATGACGCCGTGTGGCGTCATGGTTAGGCAATTCAATTAGCGTGTAAGCCTAATATAATAGTATGTCATTAATAACGTTCAGGAGTTGTATGGTATTACACGCTTAGGCCTTTGATAGAATGTCCCAGGAGATTGGATCGCACAACTTTTGAGTGTTCTTCAATAATATTATGTATAGCGAATGGCAAATGCAAATAGCGCACCAGTCAGCGGTTACATAAACCGTTATTCGATTCGATTATTTCTGTTTAATATTTATACATAATAATATTACATACGAGTGTTTTAAAGTAGCTACGGCAAATATTTGTTTTTTTTCCAATGCATTCATGCTTAAATTAGGAAATCGTTAGACATTCATAGGTGAACGCGGGGCAACTTAGTCAGAGATAATTTTATAAATATAAGTACATCTTTGGAATATGCTATGAAAATGCGTTACATGATTTTCGATAAGAAATTAGTGATAACATAATATCAGTGTTTTTAAATTTTAGTTATCCAACGACTTTTTTTGTCAAAACTCCTACATTGTTTCAAGGCAAGAATTATTAACGAATACCTTTCCAACATATTTATACACTTATGTAGTTTAGTTTTGTCTAATATTAGTAATAATTGATAGAGAATTCAATTGTATTGGTTCAATTGACAATTATTTAAGTCTACGAGGGACGTTATGGGACTTGTTATGTAAGGCATAACAGGTCTGTCCCATTTTGCCCCATATAAATTTGATTTATTAAAATTGTCTTAAGAGGACGCCACACCGGGCATTTCTAAGGAGTAAAGTATAGGCAAGTTTTCGAAAAATCTTAATTTGGAGTTTGAACTATAATGTATTATTAATACAGTATTGAGGATACTTTGTCGATTGCCATTTTTTTTTTTGTCAGACTATCACAGTCATTTCTATAGGATAAAATACAATTTTTTTGCCATCAAAACTGCTTTGCGCGGATTAATTTTTCTCAGGCTTCATACATAGTTAAGGAAAGAAAATCATACATATTATTTATGACAAAATTATCCGTGTTCCATCATCCGTATTTTTTTGATATACCTAATACAACCAACGCTATATCATTTTTAAAAAAGTCAAAAAAGTCCTTTCTTAATTAATTAATTATTCATGTACTGGTTGAAATATTAAAAAAAGGGCGATGGTAGAACACAGACAATGTTGTTGTCTGTATTATGTAAAAATTTGGTTTCTTAGTTTTACTTATAGCCTTTGTAAAATTAATCCGCGCAAGGCGGGTTTTTTGAAGAAAATGACGGGTGTGTGACGTCCTCTTAACGTGGCTTATGAATATAGGCTATCCGAAATTATTGGTATAGACGACATAGGTATATTATATTGTGTATAGTATGTTTTCACTGATTATTGAACCGATATTGTTACCGTTTACCGTGGCATTGTTACCTATTACAAAGAATGTAGATGACACCGCTATGGCGAACAGATGAGCGCGGTACGGTTCGTTGGCCGGTCCGTAGCCTTTGGCCAGGTATTTCAGTAGAGGATAAACTTGGTCTTGTCCCATTCTTTGCAAAATCTTAGGAACGGCTATCAACGCGGTCAGGGCAGTGCTGATGGTCGCTCCGAAAGTGCCAAAGTATATGAAAATCGGCCACACGGATATCGACTGCATCAACTGAAACCAATGACAATCAAAGTGTTTAAGTTTTTAATTTTGTATAGGCAATATTTAAGTAGCCAAAAAAAAAAAAAAATCTCTTTTCAGAATCGAAACCGGACCAACCTAAGTAGTCGAAATTTTGTTAGACTTTTTGGTAAAAAAAAAAAAAAAAAAAAAACAAACAGACCGCCCTTGACAAATTTCGTTTCTTATGGGGCCTCTACACTAGTATTTATTAAGGCGCATTGTATAGGCAATTTTTCATTAAAACTAAACGTTAAGCTAAAATTTGTGAGCATGTATTCACACAGGAAAGAGGCATCTGTTTTGATGTTCAACTTATTTGTCAACTTTTATAAAGCATGCAGGCTCTATTTTTGTATAAAAAAATATGTTTCTACTTGGAACAGAACGTTATTAAAAATAATCCAATTTAAATTTTGAAATTACATTTGGATTTTTATTTGGCACGATTTTAAAATTAGTTTCGGTTAATTAATAGTTTCTATTTGGAAAATAGCAATTTTTTTAAAAATGTTTTAAACGATTTTTACATTAACGTTGAAAACGAAAATTACAAAATATGTACTTCAATATTTTCAGATTACATTTCAACAATTTATACAAATCAATTATCTAGTTGTTGAACCGTATAATTTCCAGGTAAGCGAGATTAATAAGTATTGAAGTTTTTACTTGGTCGTCGTGGTACAGCCCGTATTGGCATGTTCTATACGAGCAGTTTGAATAAGATCCGTCTATGAGCTCAGTGAAGTTGCCACTCGCCTCTCTTAATTGAGCTCCTCCGGATACAAACACCAGTGCAATGTAAGATGTTATGGTAATAGCGATCGACAGAAGAGTGCCTTTCGGTATGGATGCACTGGGATCCTGTACAATGTATTATAATACATTCAATTGGGTTGTTAATTGTAAAAGTGGTGTAGCTGCAAATGTTTAAAATTTATATCATATTTTTGAAATTTTATGTCTTTACTTTGGCACACAACCGGAAAAATCAATAATATTATTATGTGGGAATGAATGTAAGTGAAAATAAGTATTCAGTGCAAAGGTGGTAGGCATGCTGGTTGACATAAACTCGTTATCTTAATATCTTAGATGGAAATATGAGAGGGTTCGATGCAGAACAAAACCCTTTTGAGGAAAACTAAGTTAAGTTAGGTTAGTTAAGGTAACAGTTTAGGTGAAAAATTATTTGTTGATTGACGCGTTAGGTAAGAAATTTGTTTTACCAAAATTACCACATAATTGCATTTATATAATTTAAAAGAAAAATTGTATATTTTTTTTGTAACAATATTGGTGATTTGCAATATTTTATGCTATAACAATTTTTAACCCAACGAAAGATGATAAATAATTAACTTTTGCCAGTTATCTTTGGAAATGCTGATATCATATAAATATAATTACAGACTAAAGTAGTCCGTGGTGTTTGCGTGATGAATTATTTTGATTTTTTTTATTAATTCCAGTAATTTTATGATGAAAGTAACGGTTTGTGGAAATGTGAAAAAGGAACAAAATTTAAAATTTAAAATGGCTTGCAAATTTAGTTTTTGAAAAAAAAACTTGTAAATGATAATTTCCAACGGTGGAGTTGTGGAACAGAAACATGCAGAGATTTTCTTAAACACATATGATGAAATTTGATTATAATGTAAAACAGAAAGTATGTTAGATCATTATAATGATCGTGATAAGATCAAGTACTTAAATAGAAAAATATATGAGTAATATAATAATACACTTGAAATTATAGCCAATTGACGATTATTTTAATTTTAACACTATACACGATTGCTATTATCAGTTATGTTGTAGGAACGATAAAATATTTATATTATAAACTAAGCCAAATGGCAAAACGATGGAACATATGAGTGGGTGAAAAGTTAAAACCATTGTGGTGTAAGTAACATTAATCATAATTATAGAAAAACGAGTTTTTTTTTAGGCTTTATTGGGCAAATATTATGGCTCGACAATGACATAAATGTCACTTAAACAATGAACCTTAGTCACCAGAGTACTATACAGTAAGGTAAATATCTTGTTAACAAAATATATCTTGACCTGTACAAATACAGGAACTGGTAAAACTTATTGTTGAGTGTAAAGAATAAAAATTAACAAATAAAAAAAAATTTTCTATACAGCGCAGTTAGCCCTCAAAACGAATGATAAAGTGCCATTAATTATAGGAACAAGACGAGAATTAAGAATAAGTGAGGGTTTAGAGTTAGAGAAGCCATGTAAGGCTAGGAAAGAGGAGATACTTTTAAAAAGTATCCCTTCCTTTAGAAAGGAAAAACAAGGTTTATAACAATTTCTGTAATTTTTTTTGTATTACAAGCTTATATTGTGCTGCCATCTGGTGGTAGAGTTACGGTTTAATTTACTTTGCCTTTCGATAAATTGACTTGTTAAGATATGCTTATAGTGCTTAACTTTTACGAAAACGTGGCTTACACCACTATAGCCTCTAACCCCTTCATAACTAAAAATTATTAACACTGCGGATACAACATATTTAACAAACTTATCAAACTGTGTCAAGCTTGCGAGTGAAAAGAACATGTATCTTAACTTTAATAATCAATGGCTACCCGGATGGTGTTAAGAAACGCAATTAGTTTTCTCCGGTTGTCTGTTAAGAAAAAATATTCAGTTGCTCTTGAAATGCAGGTTAAATTCTAGGTCAAAAACCATGTAAACTAATAAATAACTAATATATTTTAAAACAGATAGCTCACTCGGCATGTAAACAAAAACTATGACTGAGAATGAAATCAGCGTGACAGTGATTCAAGCATAAAATTGTATAATAATATAGTCATCTATCACAGATATATATAATAAACTAGATTGCTAACTAGTGATAAGAATTGAAGTAGAAGTCGGCCATTTGTGTGTGTATTAAATAACATATATATATATATAATCTGTGATTCTGTGTTATCAACTTAACTTGTAATTGTTATAAACAGTGATTACAGTTATAAACATGTGATAAGGTTCAAATTCCCACAAAGTTGGCGGAAAATGGTAACTTCAATTATCTCTATTGGTACACTTAGCAATCTAGTTAGTTATATGTATATCTGTGTTTATCGTTTAAATCTTATGATTGATGAGGAGTTTGTACAATAATATTATGCAGAATATGTGCACAATAACGTCTTATCTACTAATCCATGCGGCTACATTGATCTCCTCGCGACTGATTACGGAGTAGTTTTTTTTAAACATTTCTATTGTTTTCATATTATTGTCTGTGCTCTAAAAAAAACCTTGAGATCGCCTGAAATGTTGGCGCCAGCTTGAATGCCAGTGACCGAGGGAAAGAAAACGGCGAACACGGAGAAAAACGATTGCTGGTGTCTGTAATCGGGATGCCAATTTTCTATAAACGTGGCATCTGAAAGACACAAACACACACACTGGTTTCAGACAACAAATATTGGTGGATAATATCATGTTTTAATTCACTTTTAAGCCCGGTGAAACCGGATGCTCTAGCTTGGTCGTCGGACGGTCCCATAGCTGAACCTACGATAACGTCGAAAATGCCCATCACGATAACAACAAGAAGTACGTTTTGCACCTGAAACACAATAGACATTGTCAAGTCAATTTTGCATTTTAACCGGATGACACATTTACTAACTTCGGCTTCACGGTCCATTCCGATTGCACAAGTAATGCCCATGAGTATGATTAACACGACGCCGATGATTTTGTATCCGTGTTCAGTGTCCATTATATTATGCAAATCGTACCACTGGAGTAGCAGTTTCAACGACATGCAAAATCCAATAGTGTTCATTGCCGCCGAAATGGTGTTGGCTAGTGCCAAAAGAACACCGATCGAAGATCCAAATTCGGGTCCTATCGATCTGGAAATGATAAAGTAAAGGCCCCCTGCGAGGGAACGTCGTCTATAGTTAATAATTTATGCTTATTGTATGCGGTCGCTTTCTGTATTGTAATTAATATTTAATCGAAAAATGTACATTTATTAGTACTAAACATACATACATACATATATTGATTAGTTTAACTGGAAGAGGTCTACCACCTGTTTTTAAGTCATGCGCTGGTTAAATTATAAATTACAACAAAATGTTACTGCGTAAAGTAATAGCACCAAAATCAGCTGAAAGCAATTTTTGAAACAAACAATTTCTTCAGGTGGCCGATTTTGCAACCAACCGAGATTTATCCAACACAGTCTGATCTAGTTATAATCTTTATTTGATTTTTAATAATAGTTTTTACATGTCGTATTGTAATGGTACAGTGTGGCCACACGTTTGCAACACGTCTTTTGGCTGATTTTTGGAAATTAGACAATATATTATTATGCCTACCTCCTTTAATGCGGCCATTGGTGCTGATTGCAGACAGCGAGGTGGTAGTAATGAGAATTATGACCGTCGATATCAAAATGATTATTATCGAGTCACGTATCCCAGCTTGTCCTACGATCCAAGGAAGTCTAAGAAAGAGCATGACGCCCCATATACTCAACAGACAAGGGATCAACACGCCTTTGATCCATCCGAGTTTCACACCGTGACCGACGTCCAGTTTTTCTTCTTCTTCCCTCACCAATCTGTCATACGATTGAATCTAAACACCACACAGCAGTACCAGCAGTGTTATCAGATCCGTCCACAAGACCCTCAGTGTTAGGACGGGTTCGACACATAAGTAGTGATAATATAAAGAGATGAACTAACATATTATTATTATACTAGCTTGTATGCGTTAGTGCAGTAAACAGAAGGACTAAAACCAGTATGGCCCCGCAAAAGAAAAGATAATCTTCATTGTTGAGCAGTTGGTACTCTATTGGATAAAATAGGCTTTTACCTCGTTTCTTAAAATATTATTAGATTTTTTTCTAACTAGGGAGACCGACTTTGGCTTTTAGTTTGCATCATATCAAAACAACTACTATAGCCACCCCCTGGTTCGACATCAAAAAGTCTATTATAGAGCAATCAATTTCTTAATTATTTTCTAATATGTCTTATTATTATTACATTAACTCGATTACATGCAACCAAGGCAAAATATTTACACCTTAATATTACCTTAACATTATGGAACAGTATCGAAGGCGTTGTCGTCAGATAAGAGTTTTATAAGAAAAATACCTAAAGATTGAAGCTCTCTGTAAGTTTGACAAAATGTTTTCCTAAATATGGGTTAATACAAGTTTTTTGTCCTCTTAACCAAGTTTCTACACATAGATATAAAATATAAATATTTAATAAGTTCGGGTAAAACAATTTGGTTTCGCTGATTTTATAAAACCAGTTTTTTTGTTCAAACTTTTGTTTCTAAAACTTAAAAAAAACGTGTAAAAGTTATTATAACTGTTAAAATAAAACTTTTTGGACAAGATTTGAATAACTATTTTTTAACTTATTAATTTTAAAACGTAATTAAAAAAAATATATATACTTTGTTTAAATATGCAACTGTTTTTTAATTTAATCGCTCATGTCTAACTCTAATTATTAAGGTTTAATTTTGTGGACACAATAACATGTATTTCCAGTAGAATAATACTGTAAATGTTTCTTCAATAAATTATTACCTAGATAAAAAATACAATTATAAGTTTTAATTTGAAAATTCTAATTTTAATTACACCGCTTAAAGTCAACAAAATAATCTCAAATAATGATCAGAGTTGTGCGTGATACGAGGTAAAACGTTATCTAAATAATCATCTAGGTAATAATATATTATTCAATGAAAAGTTATTGAAATCATTTTTTATTGAAACAATTATTTTTTTGAATAATTTTCAATTCGAACGACAAACCCTTGGAATCATTTTAAACATATTATTATTTAAACAGTTTGCAAGTGCTTTTTTTTCTAAGTAATTATATTTTTAAGCATAATTTCGTACAAACATAATATTATAATTGTCTCAGATTTAATTTTTTACTGATTATAATCACAGTATCTTTTGGTACCTGATTAATCCACTGAGTGTCATGGTATTTTATGAATTCCATTTCGCCTTGTCCATCCATGCTCGCGTGCTGACCTTTCGGACACGACTGCACTAGGATATAATTACACGTTATACTGCCATTTCACACACACACATCATCATCATCATCATCATCATATAGGCTATTCAGCGAACGGCATAACTCCAAAAAAAAACAACTACCGTTTTTAATATCTGAATATCAACGTTTCATTGCAGCACATAATATTTTAAACATATTTAACTAACTACTAAGTGATATTGCTAAAAAATTTGGCAACTTCTACCCCTAGTCACAGAATATTAAGTGATCCACAACAACGATAATTTATTTGTGACACGAGCACACAGCTTTTTGGCTGAGAGTCTATCTAAAATTAGTTTACTGTATCGTTTTACCAAATTCAAGTTTCATCCGATGTAAGACACTCATTATCTCAGAAAATATGAATATTTTGAAAATAATTGTACTTGTAGGCGACACATTTTACAATATATTTCAATAGGCTTAACAATTTTAGCCTTCATCCCTCATGCGTGAAAAAGTTGTATGGACTATGTTTATTCAAATTGTGATGTACGTTTTTAATTCCATAAATGCGTAGACAAAAAATGTTGAAAAAAAACGTTAGCGTTTGATTTTTTATCAATCTGTTCGTTTACTAAGACATTGTAAAGATTTGAATATAAGATCAATATCCGATAAGTTTTTACAACAGTAGCACGACAATTTCCCATTAAAAAAAATAATATTGACCACTTGCTTTTGAAATCTAATATCTTTGCAAAGTCATAGCAAACGAACGGATTGATAAAAACTAAAAATTCAAACTTTAACATTTTTCAAACTTTTTGCCTACTTATCAATGTAGTTAAAAACTTATGTTCCCATTTAATAAAAACGAGATCCATAATTGTTTTACGTATAAGAAGGGATGAAGGTAAACATTTTCAGCGGGTTGAAAAATATATTAAAATATGTACCTACAAGTTCTCTTCTTCTTGGAATTCCTCTCCTAACGGAGGTTGGAAATCATCATATTAATCTGGATTGTCTCTTGGGCCGCTTTGAATATTTGGTTGCTGTTTTAATCAAACCATTGCCTCAGATTGTGCATCCATGATGATTTTTACTAGGAATAATTAATAATGTGGTGGGTCTTCCGTCTCCTTCCACATCGCAGTGATGCAACCATACCGCTGTACTCAGCTCTGCTTGCATTTCTTCAAGACTAAGCCGTTCCAATGTCATTCATTTTGCGCCTTAGCTTGATACTGATGCAGCTGCTACCCTGCATCAGGTTCTTTTTGTCGCCTCTTACGACAGGAGGAACATTCCGTGGTCCTATTCTTGCCCGGGAACCACACGGGAATCCCGTATACCTACAAGTTATACAAGTAAATTATTATCAAAATATTTATATTTTCTGAGAAAATTAGTGTCTTACATCAGATGTATCACCCTGTATTGTAACGTTGTTTGTGTAAGCAAAACTTATTTTTACTAACACCGATAAAAAGTATAAAGATTATTTTTAGCATTTTCTCTATTAAAATTGAATCTTACAAATTTCATTTTATACTTTATAGTTTTTATACAGTTCTTGTTTACTTTTTTTTTTTTTTTTTAATGAACACTCTTCGCGGGCCCGCATAAGAATATAAATATTTTATAAGTTTTATTGAAAAAGATAGGAAACTAGTATTTACGTGTAACATCTATAATAATACAAATAATATAAATAAGAAGTGAAAAAAGTAATATCTGTGTTTATGAGGTTTTTGAGTAGTTGAGTGTTTTGCTTTTTAGTCTGTCAAATATTTATTTACTATCTTCTTCTAATTATTCTATTGTTACTCTAATATTATTGTGATATATTATTTCCACGTACCTTGTCGTGGTCCAGCGACGTTCTTGAAGTGGTAGTCCTTCGTTGACTAAGTTAATTTATTGCTTGAATTTCAAAAGAACCGAGTTCACTTACTATGTCTACTATATTATTCGACATTAAATGTAGGTATATACCACGTGTATTAAATTGAAGATAGACTCAGTTTATATAATTTACTTTGATCAGACAAACGTTGGTTTTAACTACCTACCTTGGTTATAACAGGTAAGGCTACTGCCTGGATATAAGAAATGGTCATCCGACCGAACGCAATCCCAATTGCCAAAAATCCATGAAGGGACAACCGAAGACCGAATACTTAGAAGTAAGTGAAAAGTGAAATCGAGTGATGTGAAGTGAAGTGTGTTTGTTGCGGTCGGACGACCGTCTTTTCATAAGCTCTTTTCACAAGTTTTAGAGGGGGACAACAATTGAAATTATTTTTTACTGTGTTCCCGTACATTTTATATGGGGAAAAAACGGTTTTCTTAAAAATACGTAGACGGGCCCTTTTTCCAGTATGCGTTTCAAATATACATAAATATAACTTGAGTTTCTTTAGGTGTGTGTTTAAACGCTTGAGCTGGACCCGCAGTAGTGATCGCACTAATAAAGTGTTTATTCTGTATCTATTTAGCAAAAAATATCAGTAATTAAGAACAATTTTTTACACTACAAGTTAAAAAGAGCATAATATTGATTATGACACGGGTTTACAGGAATTATTTTAGCTGAAAGTGATAAAAATTACAATCAAACAAAAACGTTTCGATACCAGTCTGTGGATATGATTAAAATAAAAAAAATCAATAAAAGCGTTAAAAATAAATGAATTTAAGCATTTAAGTAAAAACTATAATCAGAGTTCGGCATTTATTATTCGAATAACGAATAATAAATAATTTATTCGAATAATCTCTTTATTCGACCAAACGTAAGATGATCTATATTGATAAATAACGCCCAACTCTGACTATATAATATGCTTAAAATTGTATTTTTAACGTTTAGGGTCGTTACCCTTTATCTATAGTTATTTGTTGTCATTGATGCAGTGTTGTGGTTAAAAGTATAATTGTTTGTTTTGTTTTCCTGTAAACTTTGGTGTTACGGAGCTACGCCCTTTGCTAACTAAGTAGGCGGCTGACGATAAACATCATAATTCTATATTATGATATTATAATATTATTATGGAATTATTGTGTGTAATATAGTACTAGTACTGCCTCATGCGATCTTTAGTTATCATTTATATGAACAATAGTACATTTTTCAAAAACCCTCTCTGGGGGCTGATAAAGATTATTTTATTACTACACATGAACACATACTTTTTCATAGGAAAATGTAATAATCATGAAACGTATGTAATATACTTTTTTTTTAACATCAGCCGGAAGCAATTATAGTTATATTATTAATGAGCTGCGGAGTGGATAATGTTTCGGCGAAACTCGTTAAAAAAAAAATTAATTATGAACTTACTTTTTTTAGCTGACAGTATTCAACGAGGCAGTGCCACGAAACTCTCTGGTCCATTAAATATCATTTTACTCTATTATGAGTATGGCAGGGCGGTGAAATCGTTTGTAATTATCGTTATGATATAAAAGTTATGTTTATATATTTATTAAAAAAATCATTAACTTAATAAATAACTTGTTGAATAATAATAAATACTCCTAGATACACATATTACACAATAGCCGCATAGTCCATAGAAAAATAATTGCGAAATACCAAAATTAAGCTTCAGCGGTAATAGCTTGAATTGTATTGCCAATAATTATTATACACGAAGTCAATCCTTTGGTTATCGTGTCCAAAACGCACATGTGAATTTTGTTGAAATCTCCGAGTGGCTTTGCCATTGATCTGTAATCGTAAATTGTTACCTCTAAATTATTATATTTTGTTCATTATATATTGCGTCTAGCTGATATAGTAAATATTTGATATTCGGTTACTATAATGGAACAGATTAGATAAAACCAGAAAGTGCACTATGAAAAAATCGAAAAATGTACACACAACTTTTAAACATTCTCAGGCCAGTGTTACCAAAACGTGAAAAAAATAATTCTCCTGCTTTGCACAATGTGGTCAAAGAAATATTATCAATCATCTGTAATGTTATCAACTACTTGTTATCAGTAATTCTTATCAGATTACGTTATTATTGTAAATAGCGTGTGCAATTTATTGCCATTTGCCACTAAATTAATGGCCTACCTATTAATGCATTGAGTTTAAACCATTAAAAAATCGTTTTTTGAAAATCTATTGTTTTACAAATAAAGTGCACTACCTAAGTTTTATCTAATCCGTGCCAATGGCTTACACGATTGCCAAAGACGACTGCTTTGAATTGAGTTCGATTAAATCTCTTAAAAACAATGACCGAACAAACGTGTCTCTGTTCTTATTATTATTTATTTGTTCGCTACACTGACGTCCAGCTACTGTAAATTATTGAATATGTATATTTTAAAATTGTTTTTAACGTGACCAATATTTATTGTTGGCTTCTATGCGTTCGTTTACTTTACCTTTCCTCAATGAATGGTTTAGAACAGGAGTTAAACGTTCCATTGTTTTTGAATTCACGTGGTTCACTAAAAGTATTTCCACTATATCGAAATCAATGCGATACATCGACAACAAACGAATCAATCTAAGAGAGAACATACATAGGTATATAGGTGACTGTTATTTTCAGTCCAACGCTTTTTGTAAATAAACATAAGTCTGCAAGGCTTACTTGTTTCTTTCCGTAGATATGTTCTCTTCGGCCTTGGTAACACCAAATATACGAAATTTACAATTTTTCCAAGCTGTGCTCTTCTTTAACATGTGAGCAATGACAAGCGCCAAACCTAAACGTAACGCAATATTGTTGGCGCATTTGTGATAAGATATAAAATAGTATAGTAATATCTATGCAACGTACCTCCGTCGTCGTACAGCCACCAAACGTCTACCACTCCTTCATATTTTTTTGTTTTGAACGAAAACCCTTTGTTTTCTATTATTCTCACCGAACAATCGGTTCCCCTGTGAAAAAAAAAACAATTTAAAGTAATAAATAGATGACCTATACGAAAATAGATAGCTCGCTAGGCATGTAAACAAAAACCATGACGTCACATGACTGGAAATGAAATCAGTGTTACCAGATTGGATATTATGATGAAATTGTGTCTAATTTGTGATAATATCGTTCGGTTATTATCATTAAAAATCTTATGATCGACAAGGGTTTTGTACAATTATATTGTAAAATATCGGCACGATAATTTTTATACTAATTCAGTTGAATTTACTTTGCATCTGTATTTTTCGTTTCCGAAGAGATTTCCAGCAGACTGTCGGTCTGACATGTTTCATAGTCCTTCTGTTGTTGGACATAATTTTTTGACATTGAGATTTCATGTACGTTTTCCTTCGCCGGCGACAAGCGAACAATAATGGAAGCGATTTGATTATTTTTGGCCACGCTAAAAAAACAAATCCATTTGGTACAAAACAATGCTTATCCTTACTAAATACACTCAATGAATTTACACCTATTATGTTAACTCTTATTTTTCGCATTAGTTATCATACCAGTGGAATGAGATACACCTGATGCGATCTTAACAACTAAAACTATTGAAAAACGTATTAGGGACAGGTTAGGTATTATACTTGAGTATGTTGAAATAAGTTTGGAGTTGTGGCTCCGGACAGCTCATCCAATCGGATTTGTAGCCGAATAACACGATATTAGGTTTCAATTGCCCGTGACCGCACAAGTACATCATTCGGACAGCTGTGTCCAGGTCGATCTGGTCCAAAACGTTGTACAGGCATTTGATACCTTTCTTTTTGAATCGACCGATTCCCGTGTCCAAAATGGTTTGTCTCTGTTCCGGTGCCAGGTGATCCTAAAAAATACCATTTATCATTTAAGGAAGTGTAACTTGATTTAAGTAGTAAGCAGTAGGTAAATCTGAAGGCAGACTATGATTTGGGTTTAATGGCTAACCTTTTTCACATTCATACACACGAGTAGACCGTTGTCTTTAGTGAGTAAATGAGCTAAGGACACGAGGTTTTTCCTCGCTTTTGGATTGCCACAAAGTACCAACACGTTTGGCGTGTAGTTTTTAACGTGGTAACAATAAGAGTTGATCCGATACATGTTGTTCAGTACATTTTTGTATTGTCTGTATTGCATCGACGAGCCCCAATTGTGATCTGTGCAATAAAATTGCATAAAATAAAACAGTTTGCCTGTAACTCGGATGTTGCGCACTTACCGTATTTTTTCCGGCCTGCGATTGCATATAATATAAACATGGAACAAACGATGATGACAAATGTTGCTATGTCAATGTATATCATGACTACGAAACAAGTCATAGCGCCAAAAAGACTTAACCATTTATTGTAAAACTATGCGTCAAAATACAAATTGTTAATTTTTCCATATTATGTCAATTTATGTGCACTGAAAAATACCTTATACGATGGTCTCCATCCTAGAGGTTTATAATAAGCAACATGAAAGGTGCAAATGTTCAACAATGCGTAAGTGCATAAGTAAATATTCGTTGAAAATGAGGCGAGAACGTTGAGATCACCTAAAGAGTATATTTAAATAATCAGATAAGAAACAGAGGAGCCAAAAAATATTTTTAATGACTGTTTGTCTTTGTATGTAAACCAGACTTGCTCGGGCTACCAAAAGAACAAATCTGAAGCAGAAACCCCCTGCTACAGTGGCTAATTGGTGTGTATAATCCAGTTGACTTACCTATGACAATAAAGGTGGACGCTATTATAACTGACAGACAATGAGCGCGGTAAGGTTCGTTTGTTTTGCCATAGCCTTTGGTCAGGTATTTCAGGAACGGATACACTTTGTCCTGGCCCATTTTCTGTAATATTTTAGGCACGGCAATTAATGCGGTCAGAGCAGAGCTAATGGTGGCCGCAAAACAACCGAAATAAATAATAATCGGCCACACGGATATCGACTGCATCAACTGAAATCGACAACACGAAACGTCAGAGTGCCGGCAGACCTTTCACAATGTCATTGAGCTCCGTCTTTACTTTATCGTCATTGTACAATCCGTGTTCACAATGCCTGCTTGAACAGTTCAAATAAGATCCATCTTGGAGTTCGCCGACAATACCGCTGGCTTCTCTTAAGTGTACGGAGCCTGTCACAACTGTTAGTGCGACGTATGACGTTATAGCTATGAATATCGACCAGAGAGTCCCTTTGGGTATGGAAGCACCTGGATCCTGTAATTATAAAGAAGTTTGCAAGTCTAAATGGCTACTCTAACATTCATGAGAGTACAATCCGCCCAGTTTATCTTGATTGTTCTTTGACGTCACATACCTTATACTATGACAATTGAAGGGTTCAAAATATATTGTAGATTTATATTGCATTTAATTGTGTATGTGTACCTGGAGATCGCCGGATATGTTGGCGCCGGCTTGAATACCAGCGACCGAGGGGAAGTAAATGGCAAAAATAGTGAAAAACGTTTGCTGCACATTGTCGACAGGTCTGTAGTCGGAATGCCAGTTCTCAGCATAAGTATTGGCTAAAAGAAAAAACCGCAATGGATTAAAATCCAATTGACCAACGACCTGAAAAACGGTCAAGAGGAGTTACAGTTAAACCCAGTGAAACCGGATGCTCTTGCCCGGTCGTCTCTCGGTCCCAAGGCTGAGCCTAGAACGACGTCGACAATTGCAGCTACTACGAAAGCGATTAACAAGTTTTGAACCTGGTAAACGGATCAAAGAAACTTGGTCAGAATTTAGAAGCAACACAGATTCTTATGTACACACTTTAGCTTCGTCGTCCATACCCATGCAGCATATGATACCCATAATTGCTATAGTGGCGATTCCCACGGATATGACGGCGTATTCGGAATCCAGCAGACGAACGTCGTATAACATTAGTAACGACTTGAGGGACAGGCAAAAACCGAACGTGTTCAGAGCTGCCAAAATCGTGTTGGCCAATGCGAATAAAATTCCCAACGACGCTCCCAGTTCTGGACCTATCGATCTGGAAATTAAAAAATAGAGCCCGCCTAAAAACAAAAACAAATATATACAAATCAATAGCTGATGACAAAGCAACGGGAATTTGATTGGAATACTTTGCGGATGTACTCGCCTCCTTTGATCCGGCCGTTAGTGCTGATGGCAGACAGTGAGAATGTAGTGATGACAATGATTATGAGCGAAATCAAAATTATTCCTATGAAATCCCGTATGCCGGCTTGGCCGACAATCCAAGGCAGCTGCAAAAATAGCATGACACCCCACATGCTCAGGATGCACGGGTTCAATACACCTTCTATCCATCCCAATTTGACGCCATTATGACCTCCGGTACCTTCTTTTTCGCGGACCAGTTCACTGAACGATAGCACCTAGAAAAATTCCACTGATTTATTTCACTAAAGAATAACAGAGATAAATACATTAATAATAAATTAACAAATGGGGCGCGCAAACTCATTACCTCCATAAAATGCAATTTTTTAGGACAGGCAGTTAAAGTTATTTGAAACAATGTTTGTAAGTACAATTGCCAATTTTCTTAGCGCACTCTAGTGGTGAAAAATTCAACTATGAAGTTTATTTTGGGCACTGAAAATTATACACTTTTTTTAATTCAACCATGCTATTATTCGCAATTTGAAAAAAAGCGGAGTTAATCGGTTTGGCATCTTAGCGCCTCAAATAGTATAAAAAAATCAGTGTAAAGGTGTCTTGTCATCTGTTTGCGACAGCATTTGTCCAGTGTTTTCCTAACAGTTACACTTGTGTTCAGATTGACCATTCTAGGTATCATAATGTATTTTTTAAGAACTAAACTCTTGAAAGTACCAAAAACCAAAGATCCGTTTAATTTAACCGAAACTCTACGTTACGATCCTAATAATTGGACAGTTTAGGAACACCTTCGAATGAACCCCAGGTCACTAGATTGAGAGTTTTGCAAAGAAAACGTTTGCTAAAACGATGGCAATAATTTAGTTTAGCTGCTTTTGTATGACTTATAAGTATTTGAAATTGTTTCCTAAAAATGATAAGAAATGTGAGTTCTTTCTAGTTACTGTACAAAAAGTAAATAATTAGGTATAGTCTCGGCAAATAAACGTTGCCTTATCGTTAAAAAACGGATTATAACCAAGGTGATGTTTTCTTAGATAAAGCTGCACCCAGACCGGGATTAGGTTGGCAGGTAATGATTAAAGCTCGATGAGCATTTTGTAATTGATACAAAAATTAGACTTTCAACTAGAACTTATGACCTGCGTATACACCTTATTAAAATCCGAACTCATCTTATTAGTTATTATATTTTAATTTAATTAAAGTTTTTCTGATAACCTACATAATGTGCTAATTTCACAAATACCAACTTTTACTTTGCAGTACAATACTTATTGATTTGGCTACTATTTTTTTTAGCGCTGGACTTCCCTAGTGTTCTGTGAGTATACATACGCCGCCAAAAATACATGAATTTGGTTACTCATTTAATTGTTTTGATTTAAATGGCAATAAGTACTATATAATACCTGAAGAAAATATATGAATCTTTTTAAAAATATTTATCATTTTGTTTTTAAATAATATTCCGGTTGACAATTATTATTAATAATAATTAAACGAGTAGCTATTACAGAGACAGTACACACAGTAGTTACAAAATTATAATAATTCTAAAGCTATGTTTTACTTACCTCGTCCGTCCATTCGACGGGTTTTAATTCGATTTCCACTTTTTCTGACATGTTTGAATTTAATTTAACCGCATTTTTTAGACAGTTAAAAACCGCAATGTTGTTTTGTGTAGATAAAATTTTTTAAATTAAAAAATAAATTACCAATTATTAACAATAATAGTCAGTCCATTGGACAGACAATATTTTTTGTTAGTAAGTAAAATAAAAATATGACAATTTACTATTTCACCTGTGTCTTCTAGTTCGTTAGCGTTTACAACACTTACTATTTTACAATAACACATGTGAGCACAGTAGGTAAAAAAAACAACAACTGATTACCGATTAGTGCGGAAATTAGTGTTCACTGTTCCAGACTGCAGTATAATAATTATTGTTGTCTAGATTGGTCGAGATAACTATCTTGAGTCGTACAAACTGTGATTACAACACTTGAATTAAACTCACAGAACTATTTTCAAGGTGTGCTCCACACACAGTGTTGAATAAAGTATACCGACTGAACAGGGCCCCGGTGTATATAGGTACACACTTTAAAAAAAACGTCGTCATAGACTAATAAAATATTGTAATATAGTTAATTGATATTACTAATTCATATATATACTCAATAAAAAAAAATTAATTCCGCCCGTTATTGTTTAGATTATATATTTTTATTGGAGTGCAATAGAACTTACTACAAGTATTGGCAACACATTTCAAAGATATGTTTACAATATATATAAAATATATACCGGGTGCGATTCTTTTAAAGCCCTACACTAGCTTACTTTTAATAAATAATTGCAATTATGTTTAATGATTCTTTTTGAAAACATTTTTGTTTATGCTACATTACTATATTATGAGACAATATTCAAATTTTCATCTTTTTAGTATTGCAGTGTATTTTTGAAACCCAAACGGTAACGTATATGTTTAATTAAAATTTTAAATTAAAAATAATTTGCAATACTGTTTTAACAGTAAAATAGTGTAGGGCGTTAAAAGGACCACCCGGTGTATATAATAATAAATGTACAGAGTGGGTCACGAGGCTTTGACGGATCAATTGCATCAAATGCAGTCTTGTCAAATACTCGTGACCCACACTGTATATCTACATCGAAAACTGATATTTCAGCACAACAATTATACAAGGTGAGTTACCAACCAATTAAAAAAGTACCTTTGTATCTAATTAGGCATTCGATTATGCAACAGATAACACATAATATGAATGAAACGTACGCGGATTACACAAGAAAAATTATCGCATTGATAAACTCTCAAAGAATAATACGGTAATAATATTAGGTGTAATTATTATTGTTGTTGCTTTTAAAGTAATCCTTATGATATGATAACAACATATTAAATTAATTGTATATAATTTGCAGCATTTTAAAACAGCTGTGAATCATAGTTTAACGATATTTGTGAAATAATGTCTATATTGTATCAGTGGTTTTTTTTTAAAAATATTTTTGTAAAAAAACATTTGTACCTATAACCGTTAGGCCTAGAAGAGAGTAGTCGACTAAGTTCTACTTCCTGTCGTTATTTAATGCTAGCAAAATAAAAATATGTTTAACAAGTGACAGTGCAGAAAATATTATTAAAAAAAAAATTAAATTTACAAAGGTAATCAAGCCTGACAAAGTTGGCCCAATTTGTGTACATTCGAGTATGATTTTGAATGTAATTAAATCAGATCTAACAATATGTTTTAACGTCATTAAAATATCTAAGTCATGTTGCTAGGTAAGTTATTGTTGGATGGAACGGTTTTCCATAAATGTAGTCTATGATAATTTATTTATTTATTAACCATTTTGTCATCCAACAACATGTGTTTTTGTAAAAAAAAATGTATTACTTGCGAGTTTCAACTAAACAGTTGAACAAAGAACAATGTCAGTCAGTTTTCTGGAGAAAAACGTGGACAATAACTGCAGTTTCCCGTGAGGACCCTAAGGACGCTGAAGGTAGGAATGAAAGTTTATACATAAATAATACTACCCAGAATGTCGAGCTTAAAAATAGAAAACATCTTTAAGGGGTTGCATGCGGTTGGTTTTTAAGGAGTTTTGTATAGGCAATATTTAAGATAACAGTGGTTTTAAAAAATTTCGATCATGTCAATTAATTTACCGGTTAATTTGTATAAGCTTCATGGTTTTATTTTTAGTTTAAATTATTTTGTCTATGAGTACAAATCATTTTAGTTAATATAACATACATTTTTTGTTCTATCGCACAGGCTGAACCAGTGATCCGATAAGTAATCTGAAAACAGATTTGAATTCGTCATGAAATTTATTTATGATCGGTCACGGTACTTTTTTGATATCTTATTCCTATTATGTATAAAACACGTTTGAACATTATATACAATTTTAAAATCAAATTTGGAATGGGTTAAAATTAAAAACTGAATGATACCCTGGCTAATCATAAGTAAACTTCATGAAAAATTCAAATCTGTTTTCAGATTGCTTATCGGATCACTGGTTCGGTCTATGCAATGGAATAAAAATGATGAGTTTTGACTGAACAAACCGACCGCATGCAATCCTGTTCACTCCAGAAAACTTAAATGTCACCTAAAATATAAGCAATTAAAACAGTGAAAAAATGACAGATTTTAAAATATAAATTGAGTAAGTTTGATTGACAACAGAACAAAAAGCCAAAGAGGGAACCCAGACAAAGTTATCATACAATGGGTTGACCAAGATTATTATTTAGATCATATGCGTAGCAATAAATAAATCTCATATGTGTAGAAATGTACAGATGAAAACTATTTTTTAAATCGCTGTCGAGGATGCTGTGGCAGTCTGAAAAATATTTGAACTACCAAAATAAGAGTCCTAATTACTTGACTAATAATAAATTATACATCACATTAATGCTTTAAATTTTGTGAAAAATTGCCTAATGTTTACTCCTTAAAAATGGACGGTGTGGCGTCCTCTCAAGGGGATTGAAAAAGGTCTGTTTTTTTGGACGCTTTATAATCAAAAGCCTGACAAAATTAGCCCTATTTAGGATGGCTTGATATCAGTTCTGTATAAATATTTGAGTTAATCGGCCTCTTTTCTGGTTTATTGTGGCAATCGATTTTTGATATTTCAATTAAAATTGCGTATAAAAGCAATTTTAATTTCTCAAATTTTTAGCATTCGCTGCTTGTCTAATTTATTCAAACCACTTTGTTCTTAGATATTGTCTATATAGAACTTCTTAAAAATGGTCGGTATCCAGGGGCCTTAAGTACATATTAGGAAAACCCTTTTATTAAACCTTTTCATGTGCAAAAAGCAAATATTAAAATATATATTTTATACATAGAAATCTAATCTTTTTTTTGTCTATTATAGTTTATTACAACACCGCCACCCCCTTCAATAACGATGAGTTTACTGAAGGAACCAGGGATACAGATACAGATAGCCTGGAGAGCGTTCAATTCCTCTTCAAGGAACTACAGACCGAATATGCCACAGGTACTTTTAATTACATATTACTGTTTAGACACGAATATTTTATTTGAAAAAATAAAAACATGCACGCATTTAGATTTATCCAAGAAAATATCCCAAGACTCCTCCTTCCCCCCCCCCAAAAAAAAACTATCACTGTACTCCACGACGCAACAAGAGTATATTTTTGTTTTTTGGGGGGATTAAATCGCACAGATAAAAATTGTTTTAAATCACAACTAAAATGCGTTATACTATGCTTGAGTGTAATTTGCAAAGCTTAACATGATAAACTTGTATTAGGTTAACTTTGTTTAAATAAGAAGTAATTTTTTTTTTATCTAGTGTGTAGTATATGTATAGTATATTTATTTCGGTACGGTTAGTTTTTAACTACAGAAATGTTATATATTTGATTTTATCAGAGATCTGCTCTGGTAGCATAAAACCCATGTGATAGATGGCTAATTGTAGTTCATAAACATAACTCATAATGTTACCAACAAAAAAATATAATATGTATAAACTATACTTTTTTTTTTTGGTAAAATATGTAAAATTATGATAAATTTAATAAAACATATTATATTTACTTTTGATATGTTTATTAGGATTTGACACAGACGACTACTATCGTCCAATTTCGGATATTTCTCCAGAACCTATCCTCTGTCGGGCCACAATGATTAATAATTGTACCCAGGATCCTACAACCTGCCCAAGAGGCCGACCTTCGTTGTGGAGTCGGGCTAGACGAGTCATGGGCCGTGGGATGGAAAACTTAAGAAGATGTTGTTGCTTTTGAGCGGGTATCTTATAAAAGGTAATTTTTAATATTATTTCTGGAATCTGTAACTGTGATGTCTTATTGAAACCACCATAGAAATAAGTTAAAAAAAACTTAATTAGTAGGTGATTTAAATGGTTAAATTTAAAATTAGTCGATTTAGTTCCAAATTTGGCAACGTTAAAAAAAATTCAATCGGCCGACGACAAAGAGTAGTTGGTCGACGTGTCTTCTGCTGTTGCTGTAATTAGTGGCTCGTTTTTTATCAATCCTATCCATTGGTCAAAATGTTTTAATCTATTCTAAGTATATGGTTAATTCCAGATTCGAGCAAAACCCAAATTTAATTTGAACGTGATAGACAAGCAAGAACGACGGTGACAGTAGCATCGCGACTCCAGCTGTTGGTGCCTTCAAGCCACCGCTGGATGGTTACTCGTTCACCGTTCTACCTTTGCCTATCCGTCCGTGAAAATATCATCCCTTTTTTTATTAAGATTTGTATCTTATTTATTATTTTCCAAGTTCGCATAAGTTCGTGCTGTCTTAAACAGTCGCACTCGCCTTTTGTATTTTGCTAAATTGTTTTGTATTTCATCATTATTTGTATTACAATTTGTTCGCTATGTTTTTGATATTTTTTTATTTTTGTTACTACTTTTACTGTTTATTGTTGTAGTATTTTGTTTATCGAATTACCTTACTTATATAATTTGTATTATATACTGTTAATATTTAGTTTTACTATATATATATATATATATATAGTGTTACAAGTCAATATTATTTATGATAAAATTAAATCCATGGATATATGGATTAAATATATGGATAGCGTTTGTTAATTAAGTTGTACAAAAACACAAATTCCGTGCGAATGCTCAAAATCGTTTAACAAACGTTTCTAAGATCTCCTTAATTATTACTATGAAATATATCATCCCCTTAATATAATATATCATCTCCTAATTATTACTATGAAATATATTATTACTATGGAATATATCAATGAACAGATAACAAACAACTTCATTCAAAACAACAAAAACAATTATGGCGTACCTCGTTTAAAAAATATGGACATTTTTTGGGAGTTTTTCTGTAATTCAAAGTGGAAAGGTAAACTTATTTTGAAATTTTTACTAACTAAACATTATTTGGTGTTACTTATGTAGTTTGTGTTAGGGTGTGGGTTCCGCATTGATTTATTGGATTATATTTACATTAGTATGTACTTTGGTCTTCACACCCAAATGGTTTTAATCAGTTGGATATTGAACTATAGGTACACAGGTAAAGAAATAATGAACAAATCATTGATTGTAGACGGTAGACCGCATATTAGTGCCTTCTAGAACCGCACGTTTACTTGTTATTTATTGAAACCAAAATATAATAAAAGAACTGGTCATATTTTTTCTTTACACTTCTATTTTAATGTGAAGGCTTGATAGTATGGAATAGAGTCTAAGAAATACAAACCGCAACAATATCTCAAGTAAACTAAGTGTATTGAAGCTGTTAGTTCATAAGTACATGTTTCCTCGTATGGTGTGCATGTTAAGTATAGTTATTTATCTAATAATACTATACAATATTTGTGCATTGTATTATTTTATATAGCTGTTTATAGTTAAGGTTTTCCGTTTTTTTTCTTCATTTTTTTGATAGTGTAGGTATCACAATTTATTTCAAAGGTAACACAAGAGATTAAACAACAGTAATGTTTTGATATTTTATTTAATAATAATTATTGAACGCTTATCGGTCACTCTTAAATATAACTAATAAGAATTTTTATTCAACACGAGCATTTTATATTTATATATGGTTAAAAGTGTAAAAAAATAACGAGTTCGCTTGTTTTTAGATTTATTTAAACGTTTTCAATCTATTTTTTAATGCGAAGAAGATGAACAATCTATTACTGATTTTGCTGGTGATCACTTTCAAAGTTTCTCTACAAAGTTATGTATACCAGACAAAATATTTCACCGTGCCGGTAAGTCGATCGAATTGCCATTCAAAATTAATAACTACATATATTATAATGTAAAATTACACAGTATCTAGTTGTGAAAAAATAATCACAATTTGAGGGTTAACAATGATTTATTGAATTTTATAATTGTTTATGAGTTCAACATAAAATGTAAGTTCTCATTTTGTAATTGTTTAAAGATTTAAAAGTAATTACTGTTTTTTTTTGTTACTTAAACATATATTACATTAACTAAAAAGTGTTAGTTTTACTTTATATTTATATTTTAATCAAATATTACTTATTTTCGTATTGGATATTTATAGTTTAATTTAATAATGTAATAAAACTATATATTTTAATATAATACAGGATTATTAAAAATTATAAATGTGCAGCAGATGAAACAAGGGTACAAAATATATAACTGTTCATTTTGACATTGTGGTGGTTTAACTATAAAACTTAAAAGTGTAGGACGGTAATCCACTCTCTGTAAATTAGTACATAATAGCTTTCCTAAATGGCTTAAAATTTTAATACAATCAACTGAATTGTATTTTAAACAAAGGTTTTTTAATTAAGATAAGTCTTCATTTTGAATATTTTGTGTTCGAGTAAGCCCGTCAATCGATTAGAGGTCTCAACCGAATGGCTCTTCTCATTAATTGGATTCAAAACCTTAAAACTTTCACTATTTTCACTTTAAAAAACCGAAAAAAATTGTTGATAAACTTAAAAATAAATTAAATATACTTTTAATAAGTAGACATAAGAAAATAAGACATAAGACATTGGAAAATTAAAAAAACAATATACTTTGAACTACAAATTTGAGACACTTTCCAATAGCATCTTAAGTCAGTTATATTAATGCGTGCTAGTATACAGTAAATTATTTTTTCATTTAAGATAAAATTTTAGCTTGTTGTCACATTTCCTATTAGCGGCAATAGTAGGAAGTAATCGAGTTTGTTCGTTTTTTCTGTTTGCCCAACATGTAATTTTCATAAGTAAATGTCTGTACAACTTGATTTTTATTTTTTTAGGTTGACCATTTCAGTTTTACTCAAAATAACACATTTCAGATGAAATATCTGATAAATGATTCCTACTGGGATTCGACCAATGGACCAATATTTTTTTATACCGGTAACGAAGGGGCGATTGAAATGTTTTGCGAAAACACAGTAAGTATGGCGAAAGATCAACCGCAATAATTTTTAAAAGCCAAATACTGACATAATAAATTATATGAACGTTTGACTAGCAATAAAAATTGACATTGCTATTATATAAATCGTGGTATATCATATTGTAGCTCGTCTAACCATATGTATTATATCATAGGATACTTGGGCGATATCCGGCTGTTAATTGTGAGATTCTATTTAAATTGGTAATGAATGCGTTTTTTTTTTTAGGGTTTCATGTGGGAGATTGCTGAAGAGTTTAAAGCCCTTTTGGTATTCGCCGAGCACAGGTACTACGGTGACTCAATGCCTTATGGGAATGCTTCGTTCGACGACAAGCAGCGGTTGGGCTACTTAACGTCACAACAAGCACTTGCCGACTACGTGGATTTGATTGAGTACTTAAGACAAAAAAAAGTTGAAAAACTACTAACCTCGACTGATTTTGTCGAGTACGATACCCAAACGGTGGGCAGTGCGGCCACAAGGTCTAATCCGGTTATTGTTTTCGGTGGATCATACGGGGGTATGCTGTCTGCTTGGTTTAGGATGAAATATCCAGCTTCCGTCGAAGGGTGAGTATTCGTTAACAGTGTACAAAAATAATAAATAACATTCCGGCCTGATTTCCAAAACGCTAAACTAGGTAAATATAAATTTAAAAAGTAAAAACCTATTGAAACCAACCCTTGTTGAATCTAAAATTTGTCATAAGGTCCTAACCAAGAAATCTAACCAAACCGATGCTTTGCTAGTACTAGAAGCTAAGTCTCGGCACCAATTTTAATCGTAAATGGTTAATTTCATATCTCCAGGGCTATTGCTTCGTCAGCTCCGATATGGCAATTTAATGGAATGACACCTTGTAACGCATTCTATAGAGTGACGTCATCTGTCTATATGACAACCAGCAAAGAGTGTGGTCAGACAATTCGATCTTCGTGGAAAGCCATCGATAACGTCACCTCAACAGGTAAATATATGTATACATTTAATTGTATTTAGATGCAATCGCACTACAATCATATTTCCTTGTATTTTGAATTTTCATCATAAATGATGTTATGGGTATTTTCCTTCAGACGAAGGTAAAGAATGGTTATCGAAACAATGGAAACTCTGTTCGCCTTTAACAAACTCTGATGACGTGTCAAAGCTAAAAGGTTGGGCTTCTGAAGTATATGTAAACATGGCAATGATCAATTATCCTTATCCTGCTAATTTTTTGATGCCGTTGCCCGGAAATCCTATTAAGGTAATATCTTGAGTATTCTTCAAATCAGACCAATATCATAATTTATTGTTGGCCGATAATATTGAAAAATAATTTAACATTCTTTTACACTCAATACGTTTCTGGTAAATGTTTAGGAATTTTGTAAGCCATTAACAAATTCTCAAAGCGACTATTATACACTTTTATCATCGGTCTTCGAAGGACTGAATGTGTACTTCAACTACACCGGTTCTTCCCAATGTCTCGATGCTCTTTCTACGGCTACACCTAGTCTCGGCGAAAAAGGATGGAGTTACCAAGTAGGTAGTAACATATTTTAAAGCGAGCAAACATTCATTAGGCGCAATACATTGCCAACATTAAACTATTGTTACAGCATTCTGGTAAATATTTGCATATTAAAGTAGTTCTTAAACATGCATCTGTTAACCACTAATCGACCTTTTCCGTGGTACTTAATTATCACACAAAAAATTAGCGTAAGACACAACTTACACTGCAAAAATAACACCATTTAATTTTACACAACATTGTCAAGATGCAAAATACTTATGTCTTGTAGAAATATTTAGGCCCCACGCATATATCCTTCTTTGGCATAATACTAAATAAGCCACTGTCTACTGATACCTTCTGCCGGTGGTACAACTCTATTTCTGTGTGTTTTTTTTTATCTATAAAACATATTGTTTTGTAAGTAGGCTTGCACCGAGATGGTCATGCCCATGTGCGCTAACGGCATCAAAGATATATTTGAGACGTCTCCGTGGAATTTTGACGATTTCGCTCAACAGTGCTACAACCAGTACGGCGTTTATCCGGCAATAGATCTAGCCAAGAAGATTTACGGCGGTAAACACCTGCTGGCATCGTCAAACATCATATTTAGGTAAAAAAGAGCTGAACCTTCATAACAAAATACCCACAAGTGTACATTTGTGGACGTTTTGTTAAAATGTTTACAATAATAACATCAATATGGCACTGCCAGTCAGGAGGACTGTCATTTGTCAGGGGCCAATATCCTAACTTAAGTCCCTAGAAAGTGAATTAAAGTCTGTTAAATGTACTTATCTCGTTTCAGTAATGGACTATTGGATCCTTGGTCTAGCGGAGGAGTGTTGTACAACATTTCTAATACCGTTCAAGCTGTCATAATACCAGAATCGGCACACCATTTGGACTTGAGAGCGTCGAACGCCGAGGACCCTCAATCGGTGATCGAAGCCAGGAAATACTACAAGAACAGTATTAGAAAATGGATCGACGGCTACCGCAAAAACCAGCTAAATCGAGATCTAAATCGGATCATCGATTATACTATTGAAGTAGAACTATTGAAGAACTTATCGCGCAAAATGTAATACGACAAGGCACCAAAGTTGAAAGATAAAGTCCTTTAAATTATATTTTTCAACGAAATAATGGATAGTTTATAATTATGTTTTTACCTAATATTATATAAGAAAAAATCTGGACACAAAATTCCTATAACAACAAAAATTATTACTAATGATAATACTTTCTATAAAAATCTAATCCGTTACACTGAAGCGTGGTCTCTTTTTTATTGTTATAAACAACTTTTATGCTTGTTTTATTAATATAAAAAAAAAAAAATCTCATCCTTGGTCTTACAATTTTTCCCAAAAATCCATAAGACCGGAACCAATAAAAATATGTAAATTCAGTTGTGTAAGCAAATGCCTATATTATTATGTACATGCAGTGCAGTAATAGCCTACTAGATTAATTCAAACGCGTAGCTAGTATAAATAATACATGTTATGGTAGTTGAAGTTTTTTTTAATTTTTATTTGAACACTTGTTGGCCACTATATTATCTTATATTTGTATGTTTGTTTCCCTACTGCGTGGTAATTCATAAATACACCATGTCAATATTATTAGTTGACTGTATTTTAACTGGGATGTATGTATTTGATTATTTGTTTACCCTTTTTTTTTATCGTATATTAAAAATGTTATTAAAAATCCGTTTCTTATGTAAATTGATATCAGATTTCTGAAAAAAATATTTGATATAGTTTATATAATATATCAAAATATATTGATATTTTCTTCGAATAACAGGAAGTCATTAAAATTAAGTTTATAATTCCAAATTGTTCTTTTTAACCAAAACGAAAAATTATCTTATTTTTACACATAATAATTATTTTAACTATTTTAATTATTGTGGTTGTATTTTTCGACATTTCTATGATTTTTTATCTCTTTTTGTTTTTGTTTTTCTAAGCGTTTTTATAGAGAATTCAGGTTTAAATTTACACATTTTGTATACAATTTTCTCAGCTTTCAGTAAAAAAAATATTTGAAAAATTCTCAGATTTTGAGCAACACGAAAAAGCCAAATTTTTAATTACTTACTGCGTTGGTTTATATTAAGCTTGTTTAGACTGCATTGGATTTGTACTATTTTCATATTCGCATCGAAGCGTTTGATTGTGATGAAATCAGCAAATGAATTCCTAGTTATAACGTGCAGTAAAAATAAACGCAGTGAATACTTGTTTTCACCTTTAATTTTAAATAGGCAGTTTTAATGTTGCTTCAGTTGTACCAAAATGTAAGTACGGCATCATTTTATTTTCATTAATTGTTTTTCTAATATAAAACTAATAATGAAGAGGTACTTTATTTTTTCATACTTGTTAGTCTAAAATGTTACTCTAATTTATGTTGTAAACATTTGTTGGGATAAAAAACAAATATAAGTCAACAACAGCTACTTAGTCCAAGTCGGTAGAATTATTAAAACCTAGCTAATAATTAACTTGTAATACTTAAGAGGACGCTACCCAGCTCATTTCTAAGTAGTAAAATATAGGCAATTTTTCGAAAAACCTTAATTTGTAGTTTCAACTATAGTGTATACTTATTATTACTTCACGAATGAATAATTTTACTTGTACTTAAGTCATCAAAATACTAAAAACGCTTCCCCGTAGATAAAGTTCTTCTATGTCCCCCGTTGTTAGACATATTTAGAAAATTCGAGTAAAATATTTGAACACTAAATAATTTAAATTAATCGTGTTCGACTTGAACCTATTGGTTTTGTGTAAAATAGAGCTATCAAAATTAGGTTATTTTTTTATTTGTGTATCATCAGTTGTCGCAGCTGTATGGTAAAAAAAAAAGATTGCCGTCAAAAGTATGGTTTAATAGCTGTCAACGTTTTACATAACATGATAATAGCTGTCGAATTTTACTATAGGGCGCAAAACAATGTCTTCCACCTGTGTTTTATTACTCTATGTAATGTAAATAAGGAAATTACATTAAAAAACAGTAAGAACAGCTTTGTAAATAAAACATTGTTTTAATAAATTTTGCATTAATGTTTATATATACTTGAATTCTGTATCTAGACCTGCGATAACTTTTTAGCCGCTGGGCCTAATCCAAATAATAGCAAGTCCTTATAACAGATTTGTTTGTTTTTTTTTATGCGAAGAAGATGAATAATCTATTATTGATTTTCCTGGTGATCACTTTAAAAAGTTCTCTACCAAGTTATGTATACGAGACAAAATATTTCACCGTGCTGGTAAGTTAATAGAATTACCATTCAAAATTAACAATTAGGTACGTTTATAATCTAAAATTACACAGTATCTACTTGATTGGGTTCTTTTTGTATGCAATACTTTTTAAACAACGGGTTTTTAATACCTTATGGTTTATTGTAAGTTTTTATATTAAAAAAGTCTTCATTCTGAATATTTTGTATTCGAGTAAGCCCATCAATGGATTAGAAGTCATCAAACGGATTTAAAACCTTAAAACTTTCACTCTTTTTCATTAAAAAAAACGGAAATTAAATAATGATAAAAATTAAATTTAAATTTAAATATTAGTTAAATAATCAGATATTAAAAGGTTAAAAAAAAAAACAATATGCCTTAAACTACAAAAATGGCACACTTTTCAATATCATCTTAAATCAGTTACATTAATGCGTGCTGACAGAGTTGGGAATTATTTAGTTAATATTTTATTTAAATAATTTTTCGAATAAAAGTTGATTATTCGTATAACCACAAATAACCATACGAAAAAAGATTTAATTGACTATTATACGAGATCAATTTCTTTTACTCATGACTAATTTAACTATTGGTTATATTAATTTTTTCAATCATGATTGATTCAACTATTACCTATGATTACATTTTTCTATCATGGTTAATATTTTTAATCATTGTTATTTGTAGTTAATAATTCGTTTTTTACGTAATACTCGTTTGATTAGGATCATTTAATTAATTTATACTAATCAAGTAGTTTTAGAAGAAACAGAAAAACAAACACTCAAGATAAAAATGTCTTATTTTTAAATCTGTCATCTCTATAATATATTATTTAAAATAAATTGATATAATACAAAAAAATATTCTACACAGTTGTTTTAGTTTTTTTTTTTACATATCAGGTTAAATACTACAGGTAATAACTAATAAGTGTAAAATTCAACAAACAAAAATCCTCATGTTCAAAAAATTATAATTTTACGTACAACGGCCACTCTCTTATAATATGTATATTTAAAATTGTTTAGTGTTTACGAAAAACGTATTACAAAATGTAATTTATCCATCGTAAAGATAAATGAATGTCATAACACAATATTGAATAGGTATTATACAACACTAATATATTTGAAAAACTATTTAAACTTGGGTGGGATTTTGTAATTTCACTGATTACATATTATTATAATTTTCTAAATAACTATTATAAATGCGACTTTAGTCCTATTTAAGTTTTCGAGTTAAAAATAAAATCATACATAATACCTAATTAATAATTTTAAATTGTGAAAAAATGTATTTCTAAATATCTCTAATAAAATTATTCGTGTGTACCTACAAAAAAGTTAATTTTTTAATCATGACTAATTTAACTATTGGTCATGATTAAATATTTCAATCATGACTAATTTAATCGTACTTCAAAGTTGAAATTTGCATTCATGATTACTTGTATTTGTTATTGTATGATTAAATTAATCAAGATTATAAAATTAAGTTTATATGATGACTAAAATGTTTAGTCATCGAGTTAACTTTTAATTTAAATAAAAAATGCCCATCTCTGCGTGCTGGCATACAGTAAATTTTTTTTTCATTTAATGTAAAATTTTAGCTTGTTGTCAAATTTTATATTAGTAGTAGTAGTAAAAAGTAATCAAGTTTGTTCGTACTTTCTGTTTGCCCAACACGTCATTTTTATAAGTATATGTCTGTACAACTTTATTTTTATTTTTTCAGGTTGACCATTTTAGTTTTACTCAAAATGACACATTTCAGATGAAATATCTGATAAATGATTCCTACTGGGATTCGTCCAATGGACCAATATTTTTTTATACCGGTAACGAAGGGGCGATTGAAATGTTTTGCGAAAACACAGTAAGTATGGCGAATAGATCAACCGCAATAATTTTTAAAAGCCAAATACTGACATAATAAATTATATGAACGTTTGACTAGCAATAAAAATTAACATTGTTATTATATAAATCGTGGTATATCATATTGTAGCTCGTCTAACCATATGTATTATATCATAGGATACTTGGGCGATATCCGGCTGTTAACTGTGAGATTCTATTTAAATTGGTAATGAATGCGTTTTTTTTTTAGGGTTTCATGTGGGAGATTGCTGAAGAGTTTAAAGCGCTTTTGGTATTCGCCGAGCACAGGTACTACGGTGACTCAATGCCTTATGGGAATGCTTCGTTCGACGACAAGCAGCGGTTGGGCTACTTAACGTCACAACAAGCACTTGCCGACTTCGTGGATTTGATTGAGTACTTAAGAGAAAAACCACTTGACAAACCACCCTCTATTGATTTTGGCATGAGCGATACTCAACCTGTGGGCTGTGCGACCACAAGCTCCAATCCGGTTATCGTTTTTGGCGGATCATACGGGGGTATACTGGCCGCTTGGTTAAGGATGAAGTATCCCGCTTCTGCCGAAGGGTAAGTAACAATATACTAAAGCGTACTTTATTTATAACGGAATTTATAATGGAAAAGTGTAAGCGCCATTTAATTATCTCTAGGGCTATTGCTTCGTCGGCTCCGATATGGCTTATTGAAGGACTGACACCTTGCAACGCATTCTACAGCGCAATCTCATCTGTCTATATGACAACCAGCAAAGAGTGTGGTCAAACAATTCGTTTTTCGTGGAAAGCCATCAATGACGTCACTGCAACAGGTGATTCTATTTAGTTGTATGGCAAATATCGTTAAATTAAATTTTATTTATACGCAATCGCACTACAATCATATTTCCTTGGATTGTAAATTGTGATCATAAATAATGTAATAATAATATAATGGGTTACTTTCAGACGAAGGTAAAGAATGGTTATCGAATCAATGGAAACTCTGTTGGCCTTTAAAAAATTCTACCGACGTTGCAAGGCTAAAAGGTTGGGCTAAAGGAGCATATGAAACTATGGCGGTGGCTAATTATCCGTATCCTGCCAATTTTTTGATGCCATTGCCGGGAAATCCTATTAAGGTAACCTCAAGTATTTGTCAAGTTTCAAATCAGACCAACACCATAATTTATTGTTGGCCGATAATATTGAAAAATAAATTAAAATTCTTTTACATTGAATACGTTTCTGTTTAATTTTTAGGAATTTTGTAAGCCATTAACAAATTCTCAAAGCGACTATTATACACTTTTGTCATCGGTCTTTGAAGGTTTGAATGTGTACTTCAATTCAACCGGTTCTTCTCAATGTCTTGATGTTCGTGCTACGGGTACACCTAGTCTCGGCGGAAAAGGATGGAGTTACCAAGTAGGTGGTAACATATTTTAAAGCGAGCTAACATTCATTAAACTATTGTTACAGCGTTCTAGTAAATATTTGCATATTAAAGT